TCCTAACTGGCTCTTCATTCTCTAACATATTGAATAGTTGTAAAACAGATAACACTTACTTCACTGGCATGTTCTTTCCTAACTGGCTCTTCATTCTCTAACATATTGAATAGTTGTAAAACAGATAACACTTACTTCACTGGCATGTTCTTTCCTAACTGGCTCTTCATTTTCTAACATATTCTTCAAGTAATTCTAAAATAATTTTAAATATGGTATTTTTTAAAGAAAGTAAAACATTGATACCCCAATACGTTAAGCATCTATGATACAAATTCAGAGACAGACTATTTTCGCTGATATCATAATGGATTGTAACTGCTATACAAAAGCAATTACATCTTGCATTATTAATTGATTCCCCTTTTGTAACTACCAATCTATCGCATATAATTTTTATTTTCATTTCTGATAAGCGTATAATCATTCAATAGAAGCTCACTTTGAACAATATTTTTAGTATTGTTATATGAGAAAGCATATGAAGCTGTAATCAAATAACCAAATTTAGTTATCACCACAGATATTCTATAGAGTTCAATGATGTGTACGTTTTACACGTGGTACCATATGAAATTCTATACATTTTAGTGTATTATGCTTTTATATACAAGAAGTTTTGGAAGCTAAAAGGAATAACAGAGTAATAATAACTCAACTTAGAAATTTTGTTAAAGAAAAATTCACTCAGGACAGTATTTATCAAGTCTCTTACTAACATCAATAACTGATTAAAGTTTAAATCTTTACTACATGAATCCGCACCAAATGAGACGAGCTTTAAGTAAAATGTACAAATTTGTTACACACAAAAATCAGATGTGTTACAAATATATTTCTATTGAAGATATATCTTTGAATTGATAATATCAGTCTGACTTGGACTTTAAAAGGTCAGAGTGCAAAATGATGTTTACATGAAGAATAAAAATACTTTTATTCATTGTATAGCTTGCAAATTGCATTTGTATATCCTCTAGAACCCCCAAAATACATATCTGCAGTTTTTGTCCGTATCCCTGTATATTGTATCTAGTATTTACTCTCGTCCACCATGAACTGTCATTAAATAAGCAATGTAAGGTAAAATGAATAGCTGATAATTCTGATATCAGATACATACTACCATGTTAAATAGCACTCTGTAAAAGGTCATGACATGCAAACTTTGACCCACACCCATGCACATAGGGCTAAAGCATTAGAAATGAGCTTCTAACTAAAGCACAATATTTCTGTAAAACATCAGTGATAATGTGTATTGTATGAGAAAACATGTAACACGATAACCAGAAATATTTTACATTTTTTATTTTTGTGGAAACACTACCAAGTTTTTATACACTTTCTTACCAGTTTCTTCTTGGTAAAAATATAAACTATATACCAAGTGATTTAAACCTATTAAAAACAAATAACAAATTTTATCACTATATTTCTTTAGCTGGTGATGATCAACATATATTATTAGTATAACTTAACTTCTAAGATGATATCAAACTTTGTTGTTTACAATAGTAATAAAATAACACAACTTTCAGTAAATATTTTACAAAATTATTAATTCTTAAGACAAAAAAAAAAAACAAACATAATTCAGTGAGGCAATAATTGGATACTCATTTCACAAAAAAAAATACTTACCAGACAGTATGAAACATCAAAATAAATGAATATTAGCTGACCATGAGTCAAGGTAAAAATTTCTCTTTCAAATTTTGGTTTCAGCAAGGAAATCTGTAGAGCTTAAGAAACATTTACTCAAGTAACCATTAAAAATATTTTCAAATCTTATAGAGTTTATATGGGAACTTCATCTGGTACGGATCAATTCATCTTCATAGGTCAACAGTTATGCTATAGCAGGTCATAAGCAGCCTCGTACATACAGAGCTAGTGGGCATCAACAGTCTGTACCAGTTTTATATCACAAGAAGTGATGTAGTAATCAATTATTTTGTTGATCAGTTTTGAAATTCACATTTCAACTTGATGTTTAGATAAATCAAAAAAATATATAAAATTAATGAAAACTGCATTTTTTTTAGAGAAAGTGTTCAAGTATATTTTTTATTCTCACAGCACTTCCAGAATTAATTTTTTATATCATTATTTTGTACGACACAGCCTAAACTATTTATATAGACTGACATTAAATAATTAGCATTTACATACAGATGGTTTAAAAGCTTATGTCAATGCAAAAATTTGTTTACATCAGAAGGAACTTGTGACGAGTTTGCTATATTTTTGCACACTTTTCAAGCATAAAATTAATTGCTCTGAATGGGAGATATTAAATTAAATAAATGATGCTTAAAACTATTTATATGTTTTACAAAGGATACATTGATCTTATGACATGAAATCTTTCCAATATCAAGTAGTCCAACTAAAATGTTTTGTTTGTAGAGCAAAGCGTTTACACTTGCCATGCACCTCTCTAACATTCTGTATAACTTGAAAAATAAAAAAAAATCATAAAAACAACATTCACATTACTGTCTCTATTCAGAAAAAACACAAGACAAAAATTAAATGTTTTAATTTTTTCATAATTGACAAATTAAAATTACTGAGGGAAAATTGACATCGCTGCCTATGATACTTATTACAAAACAAAAAAAAATTACCAAACATACAATTTATTTTTCTGGACATGTAAAAGAATAACAAAATTACTAACTCTTATTTCATGTTTATTGATAACAATATTCTTCTGTATCTTGGCTCAAATGTTCAGTTTTATGTAAATATATCTAACTACCTATTTAAAATATCATTACTCACCTTAAGTTTCAACCACATACAAACGAATATTCCCATTGCGTTTATAACCAGCCATACGATGCCCCCACCAAACAAAGCTAGACCCCGAACACCAGAGAGGAGAAGTGAAAGTAATATGATGAAACCTAGTATTATCCAAATCAACAAAACACGCTTGTAACATATGATGTACATGTTGAAACGAACATCATTCACTAAAACTTGCATGGCCATCACATAGTCTTCGACAGTCAACTGTAAAGATGGTCAAACTTACAGTTCTATATATAATGACAGAATTGATAATATGACTTAACCTTTCAAGACTGTTTTGAGAAATGGCTCACATTGTTAAAGTAATAACTGCATTAGGAAATATCTTTAGGAAACATTTTTTTTTTATCAAACATTAAAAAGAATGAGACACATAGATAAACAATGATATTCTTTTTTACTAACTTTTACACCACAGTTTGTTATAAATCATATATATGCGCATCATTTTAGCACATTGTGTACACAAGAGTGACTAGAGTAAAAAAAACTGTGCAATTAGTGAAATTTGCTAACTGATTAATTGTCAAATTCATTGATCGGTTACATTTGACTAATCAACTACCCTCACAAGATTAACCTCATTTTAAGCCAGTGTTTTTCTTTTTAAGTCATTTTCAAACTACCCTTCATTCAATACCATATACACCTACTAGCTGTAGTTTGTAAACTTAACAACAACAACAACAAAAATTGAGGGGGGAGGGTATTGTTTTGTTGAAAAGTTTTGGGAAAAAATTTTCTAAAGATAATCTAAACATTTCCTATGTAGTGAATCGATAGCATGAATGTAACCACATGGTCACTATTTTGTTTTAAAATATGCAGTAATCCCCCACCCCTCTTGTGTAAATAAAATAATGACACCACATCTTGATATCACTAATAATGATACAAGTGTTTTTGTTCAAAACATATCATGATTTAAAATAGAGATCATGTGATTAAATTACTGGCAACGACTGAGTGTATATAAAGGTCTAATTCGTAAGTGTTTCTATAGTGATCAGAGAGTTGCAGGTTAAAGACACCAATGCCTGTCAACTTCAACTGTGACACAAAGTAAGAATTGTGATGTTACATATAACACACAAAATGTAGATTAATAGTCTATTTAGCACTACAGAAAACAGTTACAAAAATTATAAGTTACAATGTGACACAATGTAAAAACAGTAATTTTATTCTTTATCTAACATTAAAGAACATAGTTGGGCAAATATAAACATAACACAATGTAAAAAACAGTAAATGTACATTTCATTTAACGTTGTCCATGATTTACCAGGAGGTCCCGCTGGCCAATTACTATCCTTTTGGTTTGGCATTTCAAAATTAAGCACAGTAGCAGGTAGCCTTAGTAGGCTTTACCATAACACAAAAAGAAAGGAAAAATATAACATTCCTGCAGGTGAAAGGGCAAGCATGTTTTATGGCAACAACAATTCCCAAAGCCCTTGAATCATATGACAACCCCACTAAGAACTGAGGCCATGCCAGCCCAAAGATGAACAAACTTGAATTAATCAAAAATAATAATGGCCTGCAACTGTTTTATTGTCTTGAAATTTTTACATGTTCTATAGTAATTCCTGTATGCTGAGTCCAAATCTTTTATCCATTTTTCTCCATCAAATACAGGTTTTTCACAAAACTTCATAATGCAATACGTAAAAGAAAGATCACAACACGTAGTTTTGAAACTAAAAGAGTTGAGGTTTCACACAAAAAAATCAGGATGAATGAGAATGCATATTCGTTTGACAATGTTTTTCCCCTTTTCTTCAGTTTGTTTGTATTTTTGTTAACAAACATAATAATAAAAAAATGTTCATTGTAGTAAACAAAATAATAATTTGATCTAAGTAAGAGGTTTTTTTTCTTCCCAATTTGTAAAAAATCGTTACGTGATAGAAAAAAAATTTATATTTTCGAAATCTACATAGCCGAATAATGGAAAATCTGTTGTTAAAACCAAAACAACTTTTATGAAGTTTGAATTCGCAGGCTTGTGTTATTTGGATAGTTAGAATAATGCAAAACATTAATAAACTGAAACACTAATTTTGATTAGTTGATTATTTTCATGACAGTGATATAATTAATTGTCATTTCAATGAAAATATTTTATATTATAAGAATCAATGGCTCTCATAGGTAACAAATTATATCAATCAACTACCCAGATCAACTAACTGTGTAAAAAGATACAAAAAAAGTTTGTATTCTTACTGAAAGCCCTTGAGCCATAAGCTCTTCAGGAACAAGCTCTGGTTTGAACTCTGCTTTAGTGACCCACGGACATTTCTGGTTCATGGGTAACAACTTGACCACAATATCTCCATTACCTACAATAAAAGTATGAAGAAGAAACATAAGTACAAGTACCAAGCCTACAGAGGCATTACTCTCTAGTAGTCTATAAATAAAGAGGCTGACAACTCTTCTAAAGTCAGATTTTACAATATATGCATAAAATCTCCCATGTCAAAATTAATTTGCCTTTCATCTTGGTTTATCCTTGAAAGTTCACATTGAAACAAATAAATTTATCTAGTTATACATAAGTTCATCACATCAAAATTCCATAAACAGCAGTAACTTGACACAAGGCGAAGACTAGTTATGGTAAGAGAATTTTTGAAAACATATATTTACCTCAAGACCAACAGAAAAGCTACACAATGCAACAGTGAGAGTAATGTTTAATTATAGTTAAAGTTTTCTAGGACCTAAGAATACTGAACTCTCACTGTCTAGACAATTTTCAAAAGATAGATAAAATTAACTAACAATTGTATGAAGGCACCTGATGCCTTTTTTTTTCACTTACAAAGCTCAGAAATGTTGATACCGATATTAAAAGGCTACATATTCAGCAGGGGTGCATATCTCATCCTAGTAGTCGATACGATATGTATCTAGATATTGATGCCGTGATACGATACGTATCTAGATACAAACATTTTACCAAGTTTGACAGTCTTGTCTGTAATTCATTATCTATATTACTAACATTGTCTTATTTAAGTAGTTTACACTTTACAGTGCTTTTTCAAATTCTCAGGTTTGATCAAGTAAATAGCAGCTGGCAAGAGAAGTAAGATAAAAAAAGTTAATACCTGTATCTATTTTGTTATTGTTAATTTGTTATGTTACTTTGTATGTAATGTTTTTGATAAAAGAAATTAAGACAACATGTCATACTGAATACTCATCTTCCTTTACTGAATCATTAGTTTTTGGCAAAAATACGTTATTATAAATTCTGATTTTTTCTCTACAAAAGACTCATAATGTTTCCTGAAAGCTTGCCAAATTTCATGAACATACATAAATTGTATCGTATTGGACAATGTATCGATACAATCGCATGACAGCTTCACAATACAATACTCGTATTGTATCGCCACATCTTAAATATTCAGTAGTGCACAGTGGACATCCTACCAGAAATTTCCTCTGAACATTGAATGTGATAAAATTGCCAGAAAATCCATGTTTTAATCGCATATGCCAATAGTCCTAAATATAAATAGATTTGTTTCTGGTTTCTAGCCAACCCTAAACATTTTGTCACTGCTCTTTTTTTTTTCAATAAAAGTTTGACTTAGGACTTAAAAATTTAAACTGCCCTTTGCATCATTGTTATTCACTTGTAATAACTAAATAGTAAACTGTGCACTTTGCTAGTTAATCTCTACCATCAGCATAGTAATATAATAAATGTTTATTAAGAATTATTAAAATTGTAAAGGGACAAAAAGTAGCTTATTATCCCATCAAAGATGTCCCTTCCAGCTCCCAACTATAACCACCCCTTAAGACTCATGTATTCATCCAATCTTTTCTTGAAGTCAGTTCATTCCAAAAGCCAACCACCCTGTGTGAAAAGTAATATTGTCTAAACTGCAGATGACTCCTATACTCCCAAAATTTGAACTTATGACCCCTTGTCCTATTGTTTTCACTGCTAAACACAAACAAGTTTGATGGATCTATATTATCAATATTGTTAATGATCTTAAACACCTTAATCAAATCCCTTCTGACACTTCTCCTCTCCAGAGAAAACAAGTTTAGAGATTTTAGTATCTCCTCATAGGATAATCCCACCATCCTAGTGGCTTTTCTCTGAACCTTCTCCAACAATTCAATGTCCTTCTTGAGGAAGGGAGCCCCAAAACTGCACACAGGACTCTAAATGAGGCATTACAAGTGATCTATAGAGTGAAACAATAATATCCCTTGTTTTGTATTCAATATTTCTATAGATGCTACCCAAAATCCTATTTGCACTATTACTAGCTACAATACACTATTTAGATGACTGAAGTGATTTTTCGATCACAACACCAAGATCTTTTTCTTCAACCATAGTATTTAATGTATTCCCATTTATATTGTAACAATAATATGAATTGTGAAACCTACATGCATCACCTTACATTTTGGATAGTTAAACATCATCTGCCATGTATTAGCCCAATGCATCGAATGATCTAAATCTCCCTGCAAGTTTGTAGCATCTTTGATACAGATAGCCTCCAAAAAATCTTAGTGCCACCTGCAAACTTCAAAATTTTGTTAGTCATCCCAGAATCAATATAATTAATATAAATCACAAACAGAAGCAGACCCACCACAATGCCCTGATGCACACCACTTGTAACTATGATGCAGTCAGATCTAACTCCATTTATTTCTACTCTCCAGCCAATTTTCTACCTAAGTTCATAACATTTCCCCCCACACTCACAGATTTAATTTTGTAACAAGTTTTTTTGTGAGGCATCTTATCAAACACTTTCTGAAAATCAAGGTAAACCAAATCCACAGTATTACCTTCATCAACTCTTGCAGTAACATCCTCAAATAATATCAGAAGATTTGTTAAACAAGACTTTCCCTTAGTGAAACCAACTCTTTGACACTATATCAAACTGTTTTAAGTGACTCTACAATGCATCTTTAATCACACTCTCCAAAACATTTCCAACTACAAATGTAAGACTAATGGGCTTATAATTGCCTGGACAATGTTTATCACTTCCTTTAAAAATTGGACAAACATTAGCCAACTTCCAATCTTTTAAAATACTCTTCCACTACTCAATGACCTATAAAACATATTAACTAGCAGTTTACAAATAAGATCTTTAAGTTCCTTTGGCTGTTGTCATAGCTTCTTGAAATATAAGAAATACATCAGAATCACATGTAACATTTCTTACATAAATTAATGTCCAATCCAAATGACCTGGTTTGGAACATGCAATGTGACAAAGTTGCACAGTTACATCAACATTTGGTATACAATACAGTGTTCTAAAACCTCCAAGAGTTTGAATGGGTCTTCAAAAGTTAGCAATCTAAAAGTCATAGACTTCCTGTTTTGTTTTTTTTTCAAATCATTGGAAGGACCAATTAAATCAATGGTTAAGTTTGTTACAAATTATAATGAGATAATCTGCAGGAGTAAAAGAAGACAAATGGGACAGAAAAATAAACTTAGCAACAAATTATGGTCCTTTTATAGATTTCCAATAAGAAAGGACTAAACAATTTAAAACACTTGTAACAATTTTTTTAAAGTACCATGTCATTAATAATTTCCAAGTGCAAAGATTAACAGTTTGAATATCAAGGTTATTGCAGAAGGACTAGATTTTCTTCATTATTTTTTTACAAGAATACACAAACAAAATATTGAGAAATGATCCATTGGGTTCAAACTAGACAAAGACATCTCTCCTATATACTGATGTTCTTGTCCGATAAGAATGTGTTTAGTATACAATGAATCCACATGACTTGCATCATAATGAATACCTCAAGAAATGACTGAATAATGGTTTCATGATATTTCTAAGAATGCCACAATCCTATTTGCAAAAGGAATCAACTAAGTGAGCAAAAACTGTAAATCTTTTTGTTTCTTTGAACTTCATTAAAAATGGGGAATATATCACTGGGTTAATTTTAAAATTAATATCAAATAAAAATAATTATCTTTAGTTATAAATAAATATACACAGGGTGTCTGAAAAGTCTGAACCATATGCACTTCAACAAATTTTACAGAATGTGCTCCACATGCTGTCCTTGTAATTTGAAACAAGTTTGGATTAATGGCAGGATTAACCCAACCTTCTCATGCTTTGACAGTACCATAATCAGTCATGTATTTGAAATTAAGAAAAGCTTCGAATCACCTACATTTCCAGACTTCTCGGACACCCTGTAATATATATATATATATTCATTTTCATAAAAATATGTACATCAAAATGCCAAGATTATATAGGTAAGACAATACTTCTCATAACAAGTATCAAAAGGTGCAAATTGTTTATCAATTACTATAATTTAATAGTACTACACTTACTAAAATCTTGTTGAATGCCATGACCATGTCGTGATGTTTGATTGGTGTTGTCAGATAATGGCACAGACTGCAAGTCATTATGAAAATTCTGAGCAACGTTCTGGGTAGAAACATTATTTATGTGGTTGTTGGTGGTTGACTTTGAAATCTTAGGCATCTGAGGTGATAACACTGAAAGTGCAGGAGTACTTTTAGTACACGATGGAGATGGTTTACTGTGGACATACGAATCTGGAATTGATTTTGGAGAGGCTGATCGTCTACCTTCATAAAAATTGCTTTCTGTGGCGTCAGCAAATGCCTCCAGATTAAATTGCGAGTCTTCAGATAGTGGGTGAGAGTGGCTACTAACTTGAACAATGTGTGATGGCTCTATAGTTGCAATTCCACTTTTTTCTTCTCCAAATTTTATCCAAGAACTACTAAGAGGTGGTTTAGGATCAATGGAATCCTCTGCCAATTCTGTACTTTCTAACCCTGATGATGTACTCTGAGGTGAAGAAAGTTGTGCATTCCCATTTTCTGAACTTTCAAATTTTTCTGACATTTTTCTCTGACGTTTATTTGATATTTTCAACTTCAAAATGTATTTGAAATTTAGTCATTACTAACAATTTGAATTTCTTTTAATCCTGTAAAAAAACGAAAAAAAAACACACCATTCATTTGATAACATTAGAGTAACATAAAAATAGTCCAAAAAAAATGCTTAATTACTTAGCTCCACATCTAGTGTTCAAACATAGGTTGATCAACCTTTTTGTTGTTGTTAACAAAACAGTGCCAATAATATTGCTAGTTTAACTATTCTTTTATAAAGATTTCTTATAAGATTCAATTTAAAATGGGTTCACCTGATATCATTAATTTTTTCTTAACCAAAGTAGCATTATCACTAAGCTAGTGATAGCCAATGGTATTGTCACAAACAGATCAAAACTTAGTAACTTAAGTTGAATTTTTTGAAGAAACCTTCTTAACAGAAATTAAAAATATGATGTTTCATTAGCCTTAGGTATATTATCAATTCAAAAATTCACATGTAGCATATGTGTTATAAATTAATATATCATTGACAAGATATATTTAATGTTTTTCTTTCTTTAAAACACACAAGTTACGAAGCCATAACGTTTATGGTTTCAAAGAGGATTCCTACTCATCAAGTTGCAAGAAATTCGTTGATAAGTACAATCTCAATATTTTCGTTCTTCCCCTTTCAAGTTCGACCTTCCTACCTGCTCAGGTTACTGTCACGGTCAACGTAAATTGTAATTATAATTAAATGATGTCTTGGAAAGACATTGAAACTTGGAGTTGGAGTGAATTTCACGCTACTGATATTAATTAAATTTAACTAAATAGTAAGTTAATTTTTCAACTTAAGTTAAAATGTAACTCACTAAGTGCAAGTTAGAATTTACAGCATATATTATACTATATAACTACTATCACTAATATTACTACATTAATAGTAACGTTAGTATAATATAATGTTTTCGAAGTTACATAACACGAAATCTAAGACTGTTATAACTCATCTGCAAGTAATTTCAAAACATAACCGATTTCCATCATAATACATCAACCCTCGAAAATTCCAACAAACCTTCCAATTAGTTACTTCCCTAACCATCTGCTTCTACCCATACACTTTCGAAGTTCAATACTGTATCACTAAGTGATAGCACAAACTAGCCTGTGGTAAAAAAACAATTGCCCTCTGTGATTGTTTTACAAAAATAACAAACTACTTTTCTATCATTAAACAAAATATATATATATTTTAAAAAATACAATAACAGCAAATTTTACAGTAGAGAAATTCTGATTTTAATCATTATAATGTTTCGACCCATAGTATTGGTTCATCAACATGTACCAGTTACATTTTTTTAAATATCATCATTAATGTAAATGTTACTTGATGATGACGCGATACTATGTTAAAATACTATGTGTCGCAATGTTGAAATCATTAAAATCAGAATTTCCTTTTTGAAAAAGTTGCTGTTATTGTCTTTTAGAATTTAATAATTAGTAGGTTCCTTGTCAAACAGAATTTATGTTTATATTTCTCATTTTGATTTTACTTTAGAAAACTCACGTTATTATTGGTTTTTTGTTGTTGTTATTTTTTTTAATTTTGTAAATAAAATATATATACATATGCAGAGGAATATGTGAATATTATCCCCATATTATAGAATGACTGCTCTAAGTCACCTTTTTACTGCAGCAAATTCAAACAAGTTAAAAGGCTTCAACATAAGCGCATGAATCCTGTATATTTTACAGCAGAATCCATGTGCATACGTTTTAGCTTATGACTTCTAGTAAGGATATTTGAAAACTACGTTTGCTTGTTTGTAGTTAAGCACAAAGCTACACAAAGGGCTATCTGTGCTTTGCCCACCACGGGTGTCGAAACCCGGTTTCTAGCGTTATAAGTCCGCAGACATACCGCTGTGCCACTGGGGGGCGAAAACTACGTGACTTGGTAAATTGTTTATAACGTATTTGTTGTTTTAGCAGAAGCTTTATTCAATTATGTCTTATTTTGGAGCATTTAAATTTTACTATCTTTTAATAGTTGCTCGTGAATCAAAGAGCAATTTTAGTTTCACGTGTTGAATGCAGCCGATATATATTTATTTTCAATAAACAAAAAAATATTTATGCCCTAGAAAGGTACCGCCATAGAAAACGAAATAACTGTCATCCCCTCATTCATGCGACAAGATATCCTTGCTAACAGTGCATGATATGCGTTTATAAACCATGATTCATTGGCTCCTTAACGATGTCTATAGTACATAATGAGTGTAAATATATTCAATTTCATTGTATTGTTGCATTAGTCACAAGAAATTTAGAATTGTAATTGTGTGAAAATACGATGTAGTGTGCACATGTAGTATGCAAGTATACTACGTGTTTTCTACCCCTTACTTAATATGGCGATAAAAACCGGGTTTCGATACTCGTAGTGGGCTCAGATAGCCTACTGAGTAGTTTTGTATTTAATAACAAACAGACAAAAACTTAATATTGAACTCTTCAAAATTTTGTATTCAGTTTTAACACAAAATATCAAACAAGGAAGTAGCTAAGTTCCTTTCGCTCTAGTTACCTATTGTTTGGATCATTCACCTAAGGTATCACGTGTGCCTTCTCGTGGAAAAAATTTCTGTAGAGTTGAACATATGTAGAAGTAGGCAGCAATATTTTTTAATTGCAATTCAGGTGATACCGGGGAATCGAACCACAGATTTTATCATCGTATGTCTGTAAACGTACTGCTGTCCCACCAGAGGACTTTCAATTCCTAAATGAGCTGGTATTTAGGATTTTCAATCTAAACAATACCTTATGCGACACACTAGCTAAACAGCCAGGTCAGAAATCCTAATAATCTATAAGTTTAAATAATTTCACTCTATTCAGTTTTGTAAACTGCACTCAAATAGCTATGCTTGGAATTTCATTTGTTGTTAACCTGACTTTAATATCCAAGCTGGCCTGAAGAGCTCTGGTATTTTAAGATCTTACGTAAAATATAGTATATTACATTGCAGTTAGGTTTTAATTATTTTGAGAAGTAGCTGCTTCTTATACCTCAAGTTCCGAATCTTGTCGGTAGATAGCCTCGTCGGCACTAGATATTGCAGACATATCTTGGTTGACTTATTAGTCTGCACTCTTTTTTTCACTTTTACTCAAAAGTTCTTATTAACAAGTACCCTCTATAACATTTGTTTATGATAAATTTTATAACCCATTTTCAATTGCTTTTGTTTTGTTTTAGAACAAAACCACATTGAACTATTTGCTGTGTCCACCGAGGGGAATTGAACCCCGTATTTTAACATTGGAAGTCCGTAAACTTATCGCTATCCCACCAGGGGAATTTCGTTTGATAATTGAGATGGTACAGTGTATTTGGGGTTTTCACTGTAAACGGTACCTTATGCAACAATGAGCTAAACAGCCACGTCAGAAATACTAAGATTCAGGAACACCCAGAAAAAGACAGTCAGCAGCACCCGCTTCCTTCACAGCTGTTACTTTTATAATTATCCCACAACTATAAGTACGAAGCGTTGTCAGCACAACATCATGGCTCGAGCCTTAGATCCCCCATTATACAGCCTAGCACCATAACCACTAGGTACGCCACGTTCAGCCGACCAAACAATTGTGGAAAATTAAAAAATCTATTAATAAGTCTTTGCCTCAACGAAGTATTGCGTTGTTGTTGTTGTTTTTATAACACAGATCTTCACAATGGACTATTTGTGCTCTGTCTATCGCGGCGAATCGAAACCCGGATTTTAGGGTTTTAAGGCCGTGACCTTACTGTTGACTCACCGGGGGATACAAGTATTGTAAAGAGATCACTAAAACAATCAGTGAGAGAATAATGGAATAAAAACTTGCAAACTATGAGATAGAAAATACAGTTCGAAATAAAATAAAAAAAAAACCTATATTTTACTTTTTTATTTGCAAACTCGCTATATAAATACAATATGCGACTGATATCTAGATCATTAGAAAGAACGTTCCTGACACTTAACAACGATCAGAAAATAGATAAAATAAAGGGGGAAAAGTCTTCGTGTACAATTTGCATAGTTTGTAACAATACTTCTTTCTTAATTTCCCCCCATATCTGCCCAATTACGTACGCTTTAAGCGCATATCCGTCTAATAATATTCTGCCATATAACATATCATCAAGTCAACCAAGAGATGTCGCGTTATTCAAATACAAAGGCAAATTGCATGATAACAACTGAAGTTAAATTCTACTTAGGCCTAACGTTAATTTTTATCATTGTAGATTATTTAGTTTTTAAGTTTTTTATAATATTGAAAATCACTATAAATTTTGCAGTGCTGATTCATTTTGTACTGATAAAATGAATTACATGGGAAGCAAATATGAAGGTCATTACAAAAATGAGCGGTATGTTAAATTCGAACGTTAACTAATCTGCATTGTTCGTAATATGTTAATAGTTAATTCAGTTCTTAACTGTTAACGTAAAACTATTTTAATTAGTTTTGGCTATCACATATCTTTAATGTTTTAAATGATATTAAGTCTCATTCAGTTTTTTTATTTTGTAAATTCTCTCTTTATAGATTTATATAATATTTGAAATATAAAAAACAAATAGCATCTTACATAAAAAATAAGACTGTTTTTGTTCTAATTTAATGTCAACATTGTACACAGCGTGGTCACAAGTAAATAGACACCACCTTTTCAGAAAAAATGAAGTTTTTCAGTCATATTCACATGAATGGATATATTTATAATTTAATTAATATATAGCAGATCTTCCTTTCGTTTCGTGGAGTTCGTTGATCCTTTGGCGCATCGTGAGAATCATCTCGTCAGTTTTAGATTGTGGGATTTTCGCCCACTCTTGCTTCAAAACATGGAGTAGATCGCTCTTCGAAGTTGGTTTTTTTGGTTGTCTCTTGACTTGCCGGTCGAGTATGGCCCAGAGGTTTTCGACGGGGTTCATGTCAGGAGATTGGCTCGGCCAGGGCAACTTCTGAATACCATTTTCTTTCTGCCACTTTT